ATGGGGATGATTTACATAGTACACAATTTTATAGCTTAGCAGTAAGAATTTTAGAATGGAAGTTAATTTTACTAAGTAACTATTGTAGTGATATGGTAATAAGTTGTTGTACATAAGATTTTTTAAATTATGTAAAAAGGAATAAATTAGTTTGAAACAAAGATATCATAGATTTCAGGAATTTCTATTTTCTATTTATGCTTTTAAGTTTGGTGGATACTATGGATTCTAACATTAATCTTTGGTGTAGGTTGGGTATGTTACGGTAATGGATAGTGGGATGGTTTGTGTTGAAAGAGTGGCCAGTGGATGCAACATGCTGATAGATGAGGGAACGTGGGTCGTTGTTATTAATGTTGCGGGTGTGTTCTGACATTCTAATAACAACGACCCACGTTCCCTCATCTATCAGCATGTTGCATCCACTGGCCACTCTTTCAACACCAACCATCCCACTATCCATTACCGTAACATACCCAACCTACACCAAAGATTAATGTTAGAATCCATAGTATCCACCAAACTTAAAAGCATAAATAGAAAAATAGAAATTCCCGAAATCTATGATATCTTTGTTTCAAACTAATTTATTCCTTTTTACATAATTTAAAAGCTCGTAACTTTCCCTAATAAAATATTCTTATCTTCCGTCCAATGATACGTTTATCTTAAGTTGCATACAGGAAGAGTTTCAAGTTCTAGAATATTGGGTGTTACGTTAATGGCCAAAGAAAAAAAAATCCCCATGTGTTCAGAAAGAATCGCCATCCTCTGAAAGATCTCGGGAAAAGATGATTTACCCTGTACAGTGGCCAAAAGAATGGCCAAAGAGAAAAGATCCCCATGTGTTAAGAAAGCATCGCCATGCTTTGAAAGATCGCAAGAAAAGATTACCTACACTGTGCATTGAACAGCAGAATGACCAAAGAAAATATATATCCACGTATTTGGAAAGCATCACCATCTTCTGAAACATACCAGGAGAAGATGACCTACCCTGTGCAGTGGACAGAAGAATGGCCAAAGAAAAAAAGATATGAACGTATTGAGAAAGCATCACAATCCTCTGAAGGATCACAGGAAAAGATGACCTACCCTGTGCAGTGGCCAGCAGAATGGTCAAAGAAAAATAGATCTCCATGTATTCAGGTATTCAGAAATCATCGGTAGGGCATAAGTCTGCAATAAAAGGCTTGTTGTTTTTGTATATTCAGAAAGCAACACCATGCTGTGAAACATACCAGGAAAAGATGACCTACCCTGTACAGTGGCCAACAGAATGGCCAAAGATCTCCACGTATTCAGAAAGCACCAACATGCTCTGAAAGAAGCCTGGAAAAGAGGACCTACCCTGTGCAGTGGCCAACAGAATGGCCAAAGATCTCCACGTATTCAGAAAGCACCACCATGCTCTAAAAGAAGCCAGGAAAAGATGACCTACCCTGTACAGTGGCCAACAGAATGGCCAACAAGGCTCCAAGGAACTTCATGGCGTGGACAAGTAGACAGGATGTAGAGAATTAGCTGTGATGGCCAATAGCGGCCTTGTTGGTGGACGATATCTCAACGAGCAGTTTCTTTTTAGCATCTGATACCGCAGGTCACCACCAGCCAATATGTAAATAGGAATGAACATATCTAAGTACATAATTAATGGCGCCCCAACGATGGGTATTGTGTTTACCTTCTTTATTTAAAACCAGACGAATGACACGGGCAGTGTTTTCCTTGAGTGTATTTTTACACGAATGTATAATGAACAACTCTCTTTGATATTTAAAGTAGGCTAATTCACACAATTTGAGATATAAGATAACTTATAAATACACTCATGGACAAAACTTAAGGATGTGGAAAATCTTTGATGCCACCGGTCGTCTAAATATATATATATATTTTAAGAGACAGAGGTTGTCCACACTTGGTTACCTCGTGTGTCTTCAATAAAGGTCACCATGTACCAAATATCTTTCAGAGTTATTGTCCGAATCCTGATATACATGCTGAAAGGTACAACTTCCTTAAGTTTTGTCTATGAGTCTATAACCATCATTATCTATTATATGGGATCCCAGAAGGGGCATCTCTACCTCTTTAAAAAAAAAGGCATTAAAACAATGTAC